AAAAATGTCAGAGCCAACAGTAAATCAAAGGAGCCACCTGTGTGATGGATGGATGCTAATCTGGAAATACGCATCCTTTAAGTCCAGAGAGGTGAACCAATCTTCTCTCCTGAGCAATAGAAGGATATTCTGAAGGGTGGTCATCCGAAATTTTTTAGTCTTGAGGAACTTGTTAACGCCACGTAGAGCAAGTATTGGATGTAGGCCACCGTCCCATTTCGGGACTGTAAAATACCTTGAGTGAAAACCGTGAAGCCCCTCTGAGCGGGAGAGCTGACGAATCACCCCTTTACAAAGTAGTTGGGAAACCTCATCTCGGGGGACCACCGATGGAGAGGTGTAGCAAATTGGTCCCAAAGGGGGCACGGTATCAAACTGGATTTGATATCCGTGCTCAATGATGGAAAGTACCCACTTATTAGATGGACTCCCAAATGGGGAACTGACCTTGCAGCCGGTCCCCAAAAGGGAGGGGGAAGGTGGGTGGAGAGAGAGAAGATCAGCCTGCACGTCTTGTCAACGCTGTTACTTGTCATTGGATTGACAGCAATGACCCTGCTGGAAACGGGGGGGCAGGCTGGCCTTGGTTTCGTTGCTGAAAAGGCTGATACTGTTGGCGGGGGGGGGGGGGGGGGGTGGGGGGGGGGGGGGCGGGGGGGGGGGGGTGGGGGGGGGGGGGGGGGTAGTGTTGGTAAGGCTGGTACCGATAATAGCAAGATTGTGACCACTTACATCGATTTTAGTTCAGTATTTCCATCTTTCGAGCGGTGGCTCGAGCGTTATAAATATGCTCGAGCTTGTGGTCTGTGCGGGCATTGAAAAGGCCGGACCCGTCAAAAGGCATGCCTTCGATGCGCCTCTTCGTCTCGTCCAGGAAATTGTATGAGCATAGCCATGCACGCCAGCGTAAGGGGATGGAGCTGACGAGCGCCCAGGAATCACAATATACATGATATCGCGCCGTACTGAGTTGTTGTATGGCTAACTACATGGACTCACGGATGAAAATGTGGGCCAGGTCGCATTGCTGTTCCGGGAAGGTAGAGGTGATGGATTCCAGCCTTTGCATCAAAAAGTACTGGTACCTGGCCATCATAGCCTCATAATTCGATATCCGCAAGCCTAGCCCCATCACAGCGCAGATACGGCACAACATCAAGTCTATTTTCCAGTCCTCCTTGTCTCTTGGGGTCAAGTGCTCCCTGTTATCACGACACTGTGACGACTCGATGACTATAGAGTTTGGTTCTGGGTGCTTGAGCAAGAATGGGATATCCTGCTCTCTAACCTTACACATGGACTCATGGCACCGAGACATCAGGTTGACTGGCTCAGAAACTCCCACATGTCCGTCATAGCCTAACAAAGAGTCGTTATCAAGGTGAGGGAGATGGCGGATGACTGCTCCTTACGAACAATGTCGTAGAAGTGATCCTGACTGGGGTTCACCCGATGTTCTACTTCAATCTCCAGCGACCTTGCAAAACAAGCCATAAGCTCTCCAAAAGTGGAGTATGACTCTTCCGGAGACCCAGGTCCCTGGGTCAAAATGATGGCATCAGGAGAGGTAGAAGCCTGATCTGAGTCCTCCGAGTTGGAGTCATAGTGGTAAGGAGGACTGGAGGAAGAGCCAGCTGGAGATGGAGGAGGGCAGAAGAGTGCAGCCGCCGAGGTGGAAGGTGCTTATGCCCGGGATGGACGATAATGATGCCTGTGCACCGAAGGCATGGGGTAATCGCCGTATGGTGGAGGGTAGTTCCAAGGATAGGACTGAGATGGATCGAACCCGCCGTACGGCATGGGAAACCAGCTCCTAGACAATTGACCGGAGGCATGCTGGTGGCGACGCATATTGGATGGAGGTGGAGGCCTCAGCGAAGCCTCTGGTGATTATGGCATTGGAACAGGCAAGCGAGTCAGCGGATGACCCAGCTGAGATCAGGGAGGTGAATCCCATATCTCTCAGTCAGACATCGATCAACAGAGAGCCACCTCGGAGTGATCCAAAGTCGAAGGAGCTGACAATGAGATCCTTTGAGGGGATCCAGGTAGTGTAACTTGCATGAGGGCCTGGGCAGTCGGACCCGAAGGGGTTGGAACTGAAGCGGCCATCGGGATCGATGGGGCGGTTGAGCCCGAGTCCCTGCGAGTCTCCTGGGCAAGCTTTTGCTGCTTGCGTTCGGCTTTGTCAACTTTAGTCTTCTTAGACTTTTTCAAAGTCAACTGATCCTCCAGCCCAGTGTGCTTCCGCTTCTCCTTTTGTTTCTGGAAGGAGGAATGGGAGGAGCGAGTGATCTCCTTGGAAGCGATCCCTTCGGATGGTGGACGAGGGGAGGACACCATGGGCAGGCCCACGGAAGAGGCCTGAGTGGCAAGCTTGTCGGAGGCAATGAGGGCCTGATCCCAAAGGATCTTCCTCAGCTGATTTTCCCGATTCTTGCAGGCCTGTTTGGTGAATGACTGACAATGGCCACATTTGTCAGTCCGATGTCCTTCCCTGAGACAGAGAAGGCATAGCTCATGTGGGTCCGTAGGAGACATTTTGTCCCCACATTTCGAGCACTTTCAAAAAGCCACATGCTGAGCCACCAAGAACGAGTATGGATAGCAAACGAAAGAATATGAATGGAAGAATAAGAATAAAAGAAGATAGTAAAGATATCCTCTTTTTGGGGGGGCAAGGGAAAAAGAGGAAGAGAAAGAACTACCTAAATCCGTTAAAATCCGTTAAAGCTTTGAATTCTTCCTGGCTGCAGGCACTGCGCAGGCACAGCACCCATAATGTGTGATGCACAGAGACCACGACGAAGAACATCAGTGTCAAGGTAAACCAGGTACTTTTCTAGAAGTTATAATTAGGAGAAGCTGCTTTAAGTATCAGTAAAAACACATGTAAACTACATAGGTGGATCACTGAAGTGTCAAATTTACCTAGGAAGGGATGTTCTACTAAAAATTCTTTAAATTGAATGGAGTGGGTTTTTAATTGAGAATTTTAGAGTGCCATTAGAGTTTTGCAAAAATAACATTCTTATCTTGGTAGTTGCTTAAAATTGTTCTATAAAGTTCTCTATGGGTTAGAGAAGAGGGAAATTAGAAAAAATAATTTAAATATACCAACTGAAAGAGCAGCTTGGATTAAAGAGCTGTTTGTATTTCAATTCCCAGTGGTTCCAGCTGCAGTGGCCCTTTGCCCACCAAAAATGAATCCTAGCCTCCCACTTCTAGCCCAAAAGGGAAGTTTATAGCTAGGCTTTATTACAGTAGCCATCCACCACCAAAATGCATGCCTGATAGTAACATTCTGACATCAATAAAGTGTAATCAATTCACATGACTTGTATTTAATTCATTTCATGAGGTTATCCCTGATAAGCACATATATTAAATTTTATGCACACATATATATGCAAGTGTGTGCTGAAGCCCGTATGTGGGATGCACAGGGACCACAAAATACTACCAAAAATTCTAATGCAGTCCTGACTAATTGGACATCATAAAGCACACCCAAATGTTTCCAAAAATCCCACCTAACAGTCCCCATATGAAATTTTTACTGGATGTACTGCATTTTCTTAGTACTGATAACCAATTAGATCTAAAAAAGCCCTATGTGAACAGAAAGGCAATTCTGTCCAGGCAAGGAAGTGTCCCTGAATTCACAAAACTTCCACTGCCTGCAGCAGCCCACACACCCCATCCCATGTCATTCCTACTACTCAAGAGCAGATTTTAAGGGCATATAGGAAGCAGCAGTAAACAAATACTTGCTATATTTACATAATAACTCCAAGGTTTCACTGGATCTGACACAATATATATATTGTGTTATATATATTCTTCATTATCTTCTTTCCATCTTTCTTAGCTGTATGCAGTACCTATTAATTCACATTTCAGTTAATCTGACAGTGACTCTGTTCAGACATTTCAGAGGCATCTGGCAGCAATCATGGTTTGTTCTTGTGATAACTTTGGATTGTTTAACATACAAACAACCAAAATGAACTCTGTTCATACAACAGAGAAACAACCATTGAGGGTGACATTTGACATTTCTATTGTTAAGGTAAATAAAAAGCAGTGTGCATACCTGCAATTTATGAATTAATTAACCCACAACTTACTGCTGGCCACCACCATGAGGTCCAAATAAGGTCTCTGACTATTTAGCTAAGTGACTTTAGGCTGAATCCAAAGAAGGAATATCTGTTTGTGTGAAAGGACTATGAGCAAAATCAGTTATTTTCTCTCATATTTCTCTGCACCACTTTCTAGTGCTAAATAGAAAAGCCACAGCACACTTCAAACAACATCTTGTTTTACAGCTGTGGTTGTGAGCATGATTCTCTGGTGCATACACATCCTTTCTCTGAATCTCGGCCATCCACTCTAGATTTTATTTAGACATCCAGACACAACATTTTGCCCATGACTAAAATGGATTTGCATTCCTTTATACAGGGTGGGCCAAAAGTAAGTATACAGTACTGATCAGGTCATGGAGGACCTCACACTGTGAACAAATTGAAGGAGTTCATCTTGCAAGCATATATTGATGTTGGTGTTAACCAGAATTTGTGTCACAATGACAGGTTCCAGGAATGTTGCAATGTTGATGGAGGTCATTCTGAGCACTTAAAGAGACTAAATATGACCCAATCAGTACTATATACCCACTTTTGACTCGCCCTATATATACCTTTACCTAATGTTGGTGGCAATCTGGCAGTTGTGCCCAAAGGTCCTCAGTTATACAACAGTTGCTGGTCATCTTAAATGTATATACCTAATACTGATGGTACTACTTAAATGGTTACATCTACAATATTTACAGATGCCTTCCTTCTCAAGCACTGCTGCTGTGTAGCTCTCCTAATTGGATACATTTTATCTTCATGTAGCATCTTGTTGTATTTCTTTGTCTCAACTAAACCTAGTATGTACCACTATCCCAACTGGAGCTGTCTACTGGAAACCTTCTTTATTGTACTTACATTGGTAAGGTGTATGACTCCTTTAGATGTAACAGAACAGCCCATAAACCCAACATACTGCAACTCAGGACAGTGTTCAGCAAATGCTTTAACAGACTGATCTGTCACCTGCACAAAGAGAGAAAAGGTGACATTGAATACTCGAGTACAATAAAGTCCAGGAGGCTTCTCTGCAGAAGTGGCAAGCTGCAAGTTCAATAGTTTCCTTTGTCTTAACAGCATGAGATTGTGTAACTAAAAGGACTTTGGGTAGGAAAGAGCAAGATGAAAAGGGTTCCTCTCCTCTTGCAAGTACCAGGTAATAAGAATGAAAATTTAAAATCTAAGTATTGGCTATATCAGCAGGGTTTATTGAAAATCCATTCTTTGTTTATACAGAAGCTTAAAACCATAGCCAGAAGGTGAATCCTGCTTCTGTTCCCTGAGAATTGAAATAGTACACAAACTAGGTTAAATTTTAACTAATTCAAGACATTCTAAAAGCAATGCACATAAAATGCTTTTGTCTGGAGTACAATCCATTTTCACAAATAAAGTAAAACACATATACATCATACTGGCTAGCAACTGAAATCTCTTCTGCATCCTGCACAAGATAATAATAGGGAAGAGAATTGTTCTATAAAGTTCCCTTCCTCCAATGGAAGAAATTTCTCTATTGATTCAAAGAAAGTGCTTTCCACAGGATGAAGGAAATCTTTGGATTTAACCTACATATTGTTTCTTATGTTATGCCAACTAGAACATATTTATTCATAAATATGTGTATATGTAAAAAATAATAGTACAACATCAAGATAAATACCAGTTTCAATCTATATTTTAACATAAACATGAGTTGAAACCAAAAATATGAGAAGGAGCATAGCGAATAGTGTGATTCTACAAATCCTTATACAACAGGGCCCCAAGAATTGTATGCTGAGGTAAGCATGAATGAAACTGGGGGGGGGGGATGTACTGTATAGTATATAGTGTGTATGTATGTGTGTATATATACTATATACAATACCATGCTATGTACATAGTATAGTTCATAGAATCATAGAATAGTTGAATGGGGCCAGAAGGCCATCAGGTTCAAAACCTGGTGACTGCAGGACACCAAGTTACACCATCCCATTCGGATGATTGTCTAGATGCTTTCTGAATGTCTCCAGCAAGGAAGAGCCCACATTTCCTCAGGTAATAAGTTCCATGGTCATACTGCTCTGACAAGGAAAAAAATTCTTCCTGATGTCCAGTCTAAATCTGGTTTCTTTTGAATTAACTCTGTTATTCTGTAGCCTTCAGTCTAGAATGAATGAGAAGGGATCTTGTCCTTCCCCTTTGTGATAGCCTTTCAGGTACTTGTAGTGCTATCATACCAACCCTCAGCCTTCTCCTCCAGAGCTGAGCATGCCTAGTTCTCCCAGTCTTTCTTCATAAGGCTTTGCCACCAGTCCCTGAATTATCCTTGTTGCCCTTTTCTGTACCCTTTCTAGCTTTTCTGCATCTTTTTAAAGCTTAGGTGCCCAGAACTGAACACAGTGCTCCAGGTGAGGAACTAGTATTTAACATGTCTTGGAAGTGATAATGCAGCCCAAAATAGCATTTCACATTTTTGCAGTTACGTCACATTGTTCGCTCATATTTAGCTTGTGATCTAGAACAACCCCAAGATCCTTCTTAAAGAAGCCAAGTATTGTTGAGCCAAGTATTTCATATCTTGTAGTGGTGCATTTGGTTTCTTGTTCCTAAGTGGAGGATTTGACATTTGTCCCCACTGAATTTCATTCTGTTGTTCTTTGCCCAGTGTTCCAACCTATTGAGATCAGCCTGTGTCTTATCTCTGTCTTCCAGACTATTTGCTATTCCACCCAGCTTTGTGTCATCTGCAAACTGAGTTATCTTTCCTTGTACTTCCTCATCTAAATCATTAATTAAAAATTGAAGAGTACCAGTTTCAGGACACAACACTGTAGCACACCACCTGTCTCCTTTCCCCAGTCTTAGATTGTGCCACTGATGGGCACTCTTTTGAGTCTTAGCCAGTTGCGTTTCCACCTAATGGTTGTACTATCTAGTCTGCTTTTTGCTAGTTTAGTATGAGGATGTTGGGGGACACTTTGTTGGAGGCTTTGCTAAAGTCTAGATGGATTAGGATCCATCCTAGATTCCTACAGTCCATTTGGTAGGTTACCCAATAAAAAACTGAAATTAGATTAATCAAGCATGATTTGTTCTTGAGAAATCCATGTTGGCATCTAATACTTAATGGATTGTCTTCAAAGTGTTTGTAGACTGTTTGTTCTATAATTTGCTCTAGAATTTAGCAGGGATTGATATCAGATTAACTGATTTGTAGTTCCCAGGTTCATCTTTTTTTTCCTTCCTTGTAGATAGGAACATCATTTGTTGTTCTCCAGTCACCTGGGTCTTCTCCTGTCCTCCATGAATTTTCAAAGATGATAAATAGTGGTTCTGAGAGTTCTTCCACTCTTTTAGCTCTTTTATGATTTTGGAGTGAAATTCACCAGGCCCTGGAAATTTGAACTCATTCAGCCCAATTAGAAGATCCTTGACCAGTTGCATGTCAATCTTGGCCTGCCATCCTGTTCCTTCAAGCTTGTACTACACCTTTGTCAGGAAGGTTCTTTTGGGAGAAGACTGAGGCAAAGTAGGAGTTGAGCATTTCTGCCTTTTCTTTGTCATCTGTTAGTATACTGTTATCCAGTATATAAAACGGGGATAGCCAGACTTGCTCAATGGAAGAGCCATGTAAAATGAATTTCAGATTTTTGCCAGCCGCAAAACATGAACTAATATTTATTAATATTATGACTTTATGAAAGTGTCTTCTTATCAGCGTATGTTTTTTATGTGCATGATAAGACACATAGATGCCTGGAAACTAATTGTGGGATGCCCTTCCCAAAGAAATTGACCTTTAGAAATAAAAAACTAGTCAAAGCAAATGTCATATTAATCAAAAATAGCAGTTAGAAAAAAACTTTTGTCACAGACAGAATCCTGTCAATTACAGTTTAGTGAGAAGAGCTGAGAATTCTTTGTTAGAATTCTAACATGAAGACCACGTCCTATCAGGGACCTTTGAAGGAGCTACAGTAGGGACAAGCAGCAGTAGGACAGCCATTTTCAGGGGCTTTCACATAAACGCATGCATTTTCTTCAGACCTGCAATTAGTCTCCATTCTTTCCACTTCAGGATTTGGGTCAAGATAACTCTTTCAAAATTGGCTTTTTAAAGTCAGCAGGAGCAGCATGGGGCATGCTGGGGCAAGCTTTTGCAAGGCGGCCAGCTGGACCCACTCTCTTCCTGAGCCTTGAAAGAGCTTGCCCCAGCATGCCCTGCCTACTCCTTTTGAAGAGCACAAAGTCACTTTGGTGGTTCTATCGCCACCGCTGCTCCAGACAGCAAATCCAGTGGTGCTATTGGAGGCGGCTGTGGAATTGCCTCTGCATCTTTGGTAGCCACCACCTCAGCTGTACCCCTAACCGCAGTGAAGAAGCCAAAGATGAAGCAGATAGATATGAGACATTGTTACTTTTGGCCCTTCCTCCCTTCCCACCCAATTACCCCATGTTCACTCTCGAAGGCCTGAAGAAAATGCTGGTGGTTGGTCTGGATCTGCTCCACATTCAGCATCTTCATCAGGAGTAGGAGTGCAGCCGAGCTGGATGCCACCAAAGATGCAAAAGCAATTCCACTGCCACCTCCAATAACACCACTGAATTTATTTCCTGGAGCAGCAGCAGAGGTAGAACTGCCAAAGCTCCTTTGCACTCATCAGCAGTAACTGGTGGGGAAAGGCAGGTTGCTTATCTGTAACTGTCATTCTTTGAGTGGTCATCCATGCACTCACACACCAATGGGCTTGACACGCAATGTAGGCCTCATCTGGTGGAAACTTCCAGAGCTGGTCGCCATGGAGTGGGCGGGAGCAGGGACTGCCCTGCCCTCTGAGTGGTACTTAGGCGGCGGCTCCCATTCCCTCAGTGCCTGAAGATCGTGCTGTCCCAGGCGTGCGAGGGATCCGAGCATCATGTATGGAGAGGCTGCCCCAGCCCGTATGGAGCAGAAGCTGACGATAGCCAGTGGGGTGGAGGGCGGGTTGTGTGAATGTATGGATGACCACTCGAAGAACAACAGTTACAGGTAAGCAACCTGCCTTTCTTCTTCATGGTCTCCATGCAAATCACACACCAATGGGGCGATTAGCAAGCTGGCTCCTCAGAAGGAGGGAGGCTATCGTCACCGTAGTATAGAAGAGAGGACAGCCCTTTCAAAAGCACAGTCCTGTCTGGCATAGACGTCTAGCCGGTAGTGGCACACAAAGGTCAATGGTGTGGACCATGTTGCTGCCCTGCACATTTCCTAAAGGGGAATGCCAGCCAGTAGAGCAGTGGATGTGGCCTGGGCGCGCATGGCTGTCCAGTTACTGGGATCTTGGCCATCTCATAGGCGAGGGTGATGGAATTAAAGACCCATTTGAATAGTCTCTGACTGGAGACAGCTTCCCCAGCTTTGGGGCCCTCATAGCAAATGAAGAGGCGCTCTGAGCAGCGGATGGTCTCAGTCCTGGACCTGTAGTAGGCGAGGGCCCTCCTGACATCTAGTAGATGCAGGTTGGCCTCAATGGGGGTGGATGGGTTGGAGAAGAAGGCGGGCAGGATGATGTCCTGGTTCAGGTGGAACAAAGACGTCACCTTTGGGACGAAGCTTGGGTCTGGACGAAGTACAACCTTGTCCCTGTGGAACGTCGTGAAGGGAGCATCGATCTGAAGGGTTGCTAGCTCGCTGGCACGTCAGGCTGATGTGATGGCCACCAGGAAGGCAGTTTTCCAGGACAGAAGCCTAAGGTCTGTTGTGGTCATCGGTTCAAAGGGCCTCTTTGTGAGGGCCTGCAGGACTACAGAGAGGCTCCACGAGGGGGAGTGGGGCCAGGTTGGTGGGGCAAGGTTGCGGAGGCTCCTGAGGAAGTGGCGTGCCAGGGGGTAGGCAGATACAAAGGACCCTTGTACAGGGGGGTGGAAGTGGGAGATGGCTGCTAGGTAACCCTAATGGAGGAGGGGGGGAGACCTGCTGCAAAGCAGGATTGCAGGTA